GGGTACAAGCTGCTGAAATGGGCATTCTTAGACGAGTCGCTGGCCTTACGCGTCTCGACATGGTCCGGAACAGTGACATCCGGAAGATAATTGGATTAGAGCCTTTGGTTCTCCAGATTGAGAAGTCACAGCTGCGATGGCTTGGGCATGTGTTGCAAATGGCTCCAGAAAGTAAGGCTAAGCAACTGTTCCTTGCAAATCCGACCGGCAAAAGGCCCAGGGAACAGTCGAGATTAACCTGGTGCAAGCATATGGAAGGAATCTGTTCCAGACTGCATTTGTCTTTTGCCGAAGCCCAGACTGTGGCGCAGGATCGGGAACGTTGGAAGCTTTGTCTGACGTGTCTGCCTTCGCGACCCGAAAGGAGAAGCGGCGATGGAAGATGAAGATGAAGTATTGTCAATATTTTTGAAAAATTCAATTGTGCTGACTTTGAATTAATTCTGATGATAATGTTGTAATTACCTGTTTCGGATAAGACGTAGATTTCATTGAATGATTTAATTGAAAAAAAATACTGAAAAGTTATTTACAGACATGCAAATATGATGTTACTGCAATACCCAATAAGTAATTTATATTTTTTGCCACACCTCTCAAACGCTCTAAAACATTTTTTCCCTTATTCGGAAGCTCTCTGAAAGGTCTCAGTACAATCCAAATACTTCTTACGCGCAAGGCTACCCTAATGGCCGCTCATATATTGTTCAATTTGCAATGTTCTGATGCTCTGCTCATGCTGAATCGCTTTAATAAACTTCCAGATATAAGGATGTTGTGCAGATATTTGCATTTCGAATCCACGATGCACCCTTAAGTTGCACTATTTGTCTTCGGAAGACGGTGTCTTCCTCCTTCGTGACAGTTCTACATTTCTAGGGGGAAACCTGGCATTCGGTGTCCCATGGGTAGTTGAAGACGTTCATTCCAGGAGTCCTCAAAGTAATCAATCACGTCTTGTGCTTCTTCAGACATGTTATCACCGGTTCCGCTAAGAATCTCAAATGCTTCTACCACATTTTCCGTTTGGAATAAGCCAGCGCAGACAACACACCATTCTCATTGCAAATCTGACGTCAGTTTCGTATCCTTTTTGATGATTTTCTGCGTGAATCCTTGGAATATGCAAAGCGAGGAACGCAAAAAACATTCTCGGTGTCTAGCCCTTGGAAATTCTTGAAGAATTTGACTGACTGTGGCAGGTTCGAAATCGGCCATAATTTTTTCTGGGGAGGTATCAGATAGAAGCTGTTTGACTTGTTGCAATAACCCAAAATATGTGGTCTCTGTCTTGTCTGGTAGTAGAGCATCCAAAAGCGGAACTGAACTGTTCACCTGAATACCACGGAGTCTATAGAGTTTATAAATCAAATGAGGCACTGTTTTGAAAGTTCCCTGCCCAAAGTAATATTGAGATGAGACCAGCAACCAAAGATTTTTTGCGGTGCAAAATATAACAATTCTATCTTCATTCGGTCCTGAATCAAACAGCAAGAACTGCTCGCGCTCTTTAAATATTTTGTACTCCGCATAAAATACAATTTCTTCTCAGATCATAGGCAAAGCTGGTGCTGCTTGTTTCCTTATGCTGGTGTTTCGGATCATTCTTTTGATACTGTCGGTCTTCGCAATGAGTCCTATCGCACCTTGGATAGGCCTCAGAGACGCATTAGATATAATATATTGGGACGCTTCTTGATTATTTATTGCACGATCACGCACAGTAAAATCCAACTTCAAAACTTCTGTGAGCTGCATCCCAAATATGGTTGTGAACTCCCTTCACGGCCTCAAAGGCATCTCCAACTGTTATTACACGAACCGGCACCTGTGCTTCTAATACATTTCACACTTCCAACATGTCCTGTCAGCTTGTTTCTCTTTGAAAAATAAGTGACATTCCACTCAATGTTTCTGTCTTCCCTTTTCACTCGTCTCGAACTGAAGAGTCGTCCTCAAAGAACTTTACGAAACTGACTTCTTTGAAATTTCTGAGGTTTTATATGGGAAGAAGCGTGGTAATTATTAATCTTTCAAGTATGAGATTTCTAAATATACGCATTAAAAATAAATTTGTTTTTGTGTGAGTAGGTAAAATTATGGTAATTATTCTGCTCATTAACATAATCTTTCAAATATGTTATTTCGAAATAGTACTGTTTTATGATCATCATAAATAAATTATCGGCGATCGATTGTAAAATCGGTGAATTTTTGGTTCGACGAATCGGTGAACTTTCCAGTCGTGAATTGTTGTCGGTGAACTTTCCGTCGGTGAATTTTCCGGATACCATGAATACTGCTGTGTTGAAACTGATAGACGCGAAACAGAGCCCGTCCGAGAGCTCCTTTGGGAAACCGACCGTTTTATC